TGTAGGTATGCAGACATGGGTAGCGAAGGTTTATTTGGTGTGGATGGTAAAACATTTTACAGAAGCTAGAAAATACGGTTAATACAATGAGCACACACGTAGATATCCACCTACTAGTTGTGCTTAGGAGCTCTGGTAGCATAGTGCCTAAGGCACTTGACTGCTAACCAGAAGGCTGGCGGTTCAAACCCACTAGCCACTCCTCGGAAGGAAGGTTGGGCAATCCTACTTCTGTAGTGATACTGCCTCGGAAACCCAAGGAGGGGTCGCTATGAGTCGGGGCCGACTCGACGGCAAATAACAACAACAACAGTTGTGCTTAACAGAGTTACGGGAAAGAATTATTAACTATCATTAAATATCCTCCTGCTACAAATCACCCTGAAGAAGCCAAGCTTTTTCTTTCAATTACTAACTTAGAAAAGTTTGTGAGATGTAGAAGAAATATCTTAGTCTTAAATCTGATTTTATTATAAGAATTCTGAGCATATTTTGCTTTCAGGTGGAATGTGATTATGAGACAACTATTTAGATTTAATTAATTGTGGCTAAGGAGCCCAGGTGGCACAGCGATTACGCATTCAGAGCTGCTAATCGAAAGGTTGGTGGTTCGAACCCACCCAGTGGCTCCATAGGAGAAAGACCTGGTGATCTGTTCCCATGAAGATTACAGCCTAGAAAACACTGTGAAACACTTCTGCTCTGTCACGTGTTGTTATGTGTTGAAAATCAACTCGATGGTACTTAACAACAAGTGCTCTGGTGGCATAATTCCTAAGGTGTTTGACTGCTAACCAGAAGGTTGGCAGTTCAAAGTCACAAGCCCCTCCTTGGAAGGAAGATTGGGCAATCTACTTCTGTAGTGATACCACCTTGGAAACCCAAGGAGGGGTGGTTATGAGTCAAATCGACTCAACGGTAGTGAGTTTGGCTTTTTTTTTTTTTTAATGTAATAGATGCTACCATAGTTCTTCAGAAAAAGGGGGGAATTATAAGTACGTTAGACTTTTTTTGACCCCAGATACCCAAATAGCTTATCAGTATCCTTAACCACTTTAAGGGATAATTTATTTGCCATTGTTTCATGGGGAAACATTCTTCATGTATATAGAGAAACTATGTATTTCCTTGGATATCATAGACACAGTAATAGTTTATCATTATATTAGTTTGTGACTGAATCCACTCACTTTTTGGTTTGCTTTCCAGTTTAAGCATGTGGCATCAAATAATAAAATTCCATGGGCTTGTCTGTTAGAGTCCTTGGACTTTATTTCTTGATCTGAAAAGATCACATATATTCTTAAAACTCCAAACTCACTGCCGTTGAGTAGGATCTGACTTATAGTGACCCCTCCTTGGGTTTCTAAGGTGATACCACTATGGAGGTAGATTGCCCAATCTTCCTTCTGAGGAGTGGAGGTGAGTTTGAACTGCCAGCCTTCTGGTTAGCAGTCAGATGTCTTAGGCACTACACCACCAAAGCTCCCTACATGTTCTTAGTATATAAAACTAAAAACCAAACCCACTACCGTCAAGTCAGATCCGACTCATAGCGACTCCTCCTTGGGTTTCTGAGGCGGTATCAGAAAGTAGATTGCCCAGCCTTCCTTTCAAGGATATATAGTATTTAATAATTTTAATTATCATATAGGAATGAAGGAATTAAACTTCTTTTTCCTATCTTATTAACAAGGGTATTAAAGTGCTGGTGGCTTTCATTGAGGCTATCAGGAATATAAGGAGAGAGTCATACTTACTAGGCATCCAGGCAAGTGTTGGGTATTTTAAAGTTCCCAATGGTGACTAATAAACTACCCAGGCATCAAAATACCAGAGAGTAAAAAGTTCCTAAAATCGATAATGTTTTTCTGGAGTTCTGGAAGCATATTTTTTTGGAATGTTTGTAAGTTGTATTGCTTGAATTTGATTTCTTCCAATTTGTTTATTTTAAATGCTGGGAAAATAACTTTCAGGTTTCATTGATGTTTTTGAGTTGATAATGTACTGCTTTAGAAAGTTATTCAGGTAAAAATAATCTCTAGGACAGGGAACTCAATTCTTCATAAATCAGTCCAAGTCATGTTTGGATTGCTCTCACTGGGAGGCATTACTGTGTTATGGTTAAACATGGTTACTTTGAATAAGACTGTTTGGGGTCACATGTCGTGCCACTGCTCACTGTGCAACCTTGAACTAGTTATTTAACTTCTCTGTGCCTCAGGTACCTCTGTACAGTTGAGGATAATAGTACTTCACAATATCAAATGCTTAATGTTGTCGAGCAACAGGGCAGCAACACTTAGAATTATGCTTATTAAATAAACTCTTTAAAATGTCATTGCTGTTTTATCATTGTTATTAACATGTTGGTCATAATGAGGTTGAAACCTAGCAAGAAATATTTAGAAAATAGTATCAGCTGTCTTCTTGGTTTTTAGCACATAGGCTGTGTGTGCCCATCAAGTGAAAGAGAGACATGATTTGGTGGAGAAATGGAAGAGAATCAGTTTAGTTGGGACATGTTGAATTTGAGGTGTTTGTGGAATATTAATTTTGAGATGTATGAATTTGAGAAGGGGAAGGATCATTGACATAAGGGTGATAATTAAAACTATGAGAGGTAAATTAGATAGTGTAAGGAGATCTCCCAAAGATATCTTGGGACTAGTTAGAAACCTGGGGATGCTAAATTTTAAAGAGAAGATGGGGGGCCAGGGTGTCATAATAAAGGAGACTAAGAGTTGTTAGGAGAACCAGAAGAGAGCAGTGCCATCAAAAATAAGGAGTGATCAGTGGTGTTCAGTGCAGCAGGGAATATAGTAAGTTAACTGAAAAATTACATGGCTTGATAATGCATTGGTGTTTGGTTTCAGTAGAGTGGTGAAGGCAGATACCAAATCACAGTTGAGTTTAGTGATGGTGATAAGAACAGAAGAGAAGACAATAAATGTGGACACCAAAACCAAACCAAACTCATTGCCATTGAGTAAACTCCGACTCATAGCGACTCCTATTGGGGTTTCATAGCTGTAAATCTTTCTAGAAGCAGACTGCCTCATCTTTCTTTTGTGGAACAGCTGGTGGCTTTGAACTGCTGACCTTTTGGTTAGCAGTCAAATGCCTTAACCAGTACACCACCAGAGCTCCTTAAATGTATACTACTCTTGAGAAATTTTGATGAGACAAATGTTGGAAACTGGAGAAAGATACAAGCTTTTCTGGGAGGGCAGATGGGAGAGAGTTGAACATGTTTCTGAATTGTAGACAAGGAGCTATTAAAAAAATTTTAGTAGAAGGAGAGTGTAAGTGGGCTCAGGGATGAAAATTGATCAGAGGGTTTGAACAGGAGGAGGGCTACAATGTTTCTGAGACTGGAGGAAGGAGAGGTGTAGATATAAGTCTTTAAGATAGATGTCCAAGGAGATATGGGAAATCACTCCTAATGACTTCATTTTCTCCAGTGAAATAGAGAAAGAATGAGTTTATCTCTTTAAAGTAATCAAAGATTGAATAACTGGTTTCAGTAGAGTGGTAAAGGTTTAGAATTGTAATTGAAGGAAATAGGAGAGGGGCTGACTGATTTGTTCCCTGACTTAGTTTGGGTTCTTTAGAGGAGCAAAATTGTTGTTGTTTTAGTGACCCCTCCTTGGGTTTCTGAGGCAGTATCACTACGCAAGTAGATTGCCCAACCTTCCTTCCAAGGAGTGGCTGGTGGGTTTGATCCGCTAGCCTTCTGGTTAGCACTCAAATGCCTTATTTAAAGATACATAGAGGGATTTACTTCAAGGAATGACTCACACAGTTGTGGGGGCTGGGAAGTCCCAAATCTGTGGGTCAGGTGGCAGGCTGACGAGTTCTGCAGGCTATGTCCCAAGAACTGGGAGTCAGGTGATTAAGAAGAGTGCAGGGTCAAGAGAGAGAGCCTTGCCAGAGCATGTATTTATATATTGAAGGCAGACCACACCCCCAAGGAAACTCTCCTTTCAACTGATCACATCAAATGATCATGTCAGATCATGCCATGGAGGTGATTACATTATATTGTACTATTGAAGAGTAATAAGTCCAGTGTCTGCCAACCATTGAGAAATCAGCCCAGCCAAGCTGACACATAACATTAACCATCACATTGCCTAAATAGGTATTTTTTCATCTTTACCACAGCACATTTTAAGGATATCACTATTAGTATGGATACCATGAATATATCATGTGAAAGGAGAAGGACTATTGTTTCACTTAATGCAACATATATTATTTAGTATCTACTGTGTGCAAAGCACTGTGCTACATGCTTCCTGGAAGATTCAGATGAGTACTGTCTGTCTTATTCAAAGAGGATATGAGTTAATAGCTCATGCCATATGATTTGTCACATACACAATTGTTTATAATAGGCAAAAAATGGTAAATGCATGAGTTTTACAAATATACTGTGAGAGTTTAAAAGGGATAGAGATTCCCATAGGATATGGGGAAATAGGAAGGCTTTATAGAAAAGGCAAAAAAAAAAAAGGGGGGGGGCGGGGGGCTACATGTGGAATTTCTGATGAAGTAGTAATGAAAGTCATTATGAATTTTTAATTTATTATAGGAGTTAGTCATTTATGCTTCTACAATGCAATGACTGGCACTGCGCAGAAGACAGAGAGAGAGATTAATAGAACACAGTACATTTTATTCTGACTGAAACATGTTCTAAATTTTATATTTTTATGTAGGAATATAGAATTCAGCAGTCTTTTCCACAAATGTTTAATGACCATCTCTGTGCTAGGTGCTGAGGCTTCATAGATGACTTAAATACAGGTTCCATCCTCAAGGATACATACTCTGGTAGAGAGACAAGGGAAAAGAAGTAACTTCAGTTCTGTGCAATAAGTGATACAAAGCAGTGTGTATGACTAAAGAAATTTGGGGATGCAATAGGAAGAAGCATGAATAAATGATTACTTTGCTATGACTACAGCATTTTTTTCCCTTTTTGTTTTCTTTAGTTGGAGAACATCAACTGACAGGCCATAAAGTAGCAGTTAAAATCTTAAATAGACAGAAGATTCGCAGTTTAGATGTTGTTGGAAAAATAAAACGAGAAATTCAAAATCTGAAACTCTTTCGTCATCCTCATATTATCAAACTGTAAGTAGTTTTGTATGATAGTACAAAAGAGAAAACTGTCTTGAATTATTTTTTATGAATTTACAAATAATTATTTCCAATTAACTCCTTGAAAAATATACCATTTCTCATATTCATGTCAACAAGTGTTCATTTGTTTAACCTTCATCAATCCTTTTTTGCAGACTTTTGCTTTAGAATTAAAAGTCATTGTTTAAAAATTGGTGATGTATTCAAGTGATAAATATAGCCTTGAAAATTGACTCTTAACTCTAGTTAGTATTCACTTTAATGGTCATCTAAGACTTTGATATTCCTTAATTCATTTTGTAGTTTTTTCTAGTTACCTTTCATTAGCATCTGGATATTTTCTTTTTAGAAAAGGTGAAAGCAACTGTTAATGATTATTAACCATAGTATATTATGTGTAGAATTGCAGTTATTACTGTAATTACTCATGTTGTTGTTGTTGTTATGTGCTGTCGAGTCAAACCTGACTCATAGTGACCCCTCCTTGGGTTTCCAAGGCAGTATCGCTAAGGAAGTAGGATTGCCCAGCCTTCCTTCTGAGAAGTGGCTGGTGGGTTTGAACTGCCAGCCGTCTGGTTAGCAGGCAAGTGTCTTAGCCGCTATGCTACCAAAGCTCCCGTAATTACTAATAGCAAAGCCAAATGAATTTGTTTTTGAATGAAACAAGTTACAAACTTTAAAGATATAATAAATATTAAAACATCATTAATTAAATTTAAGATAAATATGATAATTAAAAATAGACAAAACTCAGAGAAAATTTAGATATTATATATGTGACAGTATCTCTTAAATTATTTGGAGCTACACCTTAATACTTGTTAAGTGTAGCATGATAGGCACTGAAAATTATCTTTATTTTTCATCTTAAAGCTTGAATAAGGTAAATAAATATTAACCTTACCTACGGTGTACCTGGTGGTTGCCAGGAACTCTGCTGAGCATTTTTCATATATAATTTCACTAAGAATAATTTCACTTCAGATAAGCCTATAAAGGAGATATTATTATCCTCATTTTATAGACTAGGAAACTGCACATCTAGAGAGGATCAGCAGCTTGTCCACGGAGGCACAGCTAGTAAGTTGCAAAGATGCTAGAGTGGAGAGTAACAGCATGGCATTTGGAGTGTCACATTTGAACTCAGCACCCATTTTAAGAGAAAAATACATTTGTAGATCTCTGGGTTTGACTTAGTTATTTTTAATGTATTGTTTCTTAAATATGTAGAAACAATGAACTAGGTATAAACTCCATATACTTACAGCTTCAATACAATCATGGAACCAAAATAAATTTACAATTTAAATACAAATTGAACTGAAATTAATGAAATTACAAATAGTATCAGTAGTATAATATGACAAATAATGTGCTTTTGCTACCTGCAAACTATTGTTACTCAATTTAATAGTAGAAGGAGGTCTAATATTCTGTATTTTCATTCAAATAATAATTGCTACAGAAAAAAGCTGTTCATATAAGTATATTGTAAAAAGTATAGTGATATCTTTGAGACTTTGTTGGCTAGTTCATTATATTAAAAAAAAAAACCAAACTACCATCAAGTTGATTATGACTCATAGTGACCCCCATTGGGTTTTCAAGGCTGTAATCTTTACGGAAGTAGATTACCTCATCTTCCTCCCATGGAGCACCTGGTGGGTTTGAACTGCCGACCTTCTGGTTAATAGCCACATGCCTTACCCACTGTACAACCAGAGCTCCTAGTTCATTATATATTTAGCCTAATCTGTGTCAGTAAGCAGTCTTTCAGTGTTAGTGTTAATGTGTAACCACTTGATAACCCTGTAGACTTACATTGTTTACCTGATGACTAGGCTAACACAGTAGCTGTGCTAGGCAGACTAATGGTCTGCAAAGATGTCCGTGTCCTAATACCTGTAAACATGTTAGTTTACATGCCAAAGGGGAATGAAAGTTACCAATGGAATTAAGGTTACTAATAAACTTATCTTAAAATAGGGAGAGTAGACTGGATTATCTGAATGGGTCCAGTATAATCACAGGGGTCTTTAAAATAACAGAGGGAGACAGAAGAAGAGTGAGAGAGAGGACTTCCTGTGATTATGGAAGCAAGGTCAGAAGGGTAAGATGTGAGAAGGACTGGACTGGCCACTGCTTCTCTTAAAGGTGGAGGAAAGGGAGTCATGAGTCAAAGAATGAAGGTGATTCCTAAAAGCTGGAAAATGCAAGGAAATAGATTCTTCCCCACACTACATAAAGCAATACAGCTCTGCTTAAACCTTGATTTTAGCTCAATGAAACTTATTGGACTTCTAACCTATAGAACTATAAGATAATGAATTAATGTTGTTTTAAGCTACTAAATTTCAAGTATAGCAGCAGTAGGAAACTGATACAGTAGCATTCTTGAAATCCTTAAATGAATGGCTGAGTCATTTATTGCTGGGATTTGAAACATTTGTTTAGTCTTTACCACTACATTTATTGCTAGTGAACTGTACCAAATCCGTATATATTCTTTAACGGTATGTTCAGTGAATTTAATATTTAAAGTTTTTAGTTTTCAGCTTTGAGCTTAATCTGTTCAGCCACATTGCTTCTTTAATTGTGGATATAATTTTTTCTTTTTTTAGAGGACTCAAGTATTCTTGCAACAAAACAAGCTTATTGCCATAACCTCTAATAGTGTTATTGATTTAAACTGGGAGAGAGACCTGATCCTTTGAGTGGTTTTGTTTGTTCTGTGCAGTCTTGGAATAATTGCCAAGAATAGTTTCCTTGTGGCAGAATGGGCCTCTAGAATTAGTAAGAAAGTTTAAACATTAAATACTACGAATGAAGGATATTTATTGCGTGATTTCTTTCAAATTGGAGGAAACATATTATCAGCCTAAAACCCACCAAGGGAAAATTAAAAGGTGCAAGTAGGGTTTAAAGGAAAATTCAAGGTTTAAAATAAACTAGAATTTGTTGAATTGGGATTTGTCCTTGTTTTTCTTTCCCCCATAGTTTTTTGGGAAACTTGATTTTAACTCATCAAAATATCATTACTTTCTCATTTGATAGAGGCAGTTTTTCTTTTATCTTAAAGGAGTTCTGGTGGTGTGGTGGTTAAAGCATTTGGCTGCTAACCAAAAGGTCAGCTGAACCCACCAGCCACTCCATGGGAGAAAGATGAGGCAGTCTGCTTCTGTAAAGATTTATGGCCTTGGAAAACCTATGAGGCAGTTAGTTCTACTTTGCCCTATAGGATCTCTATGAGTCAGAATTGACTCTATGGCATTGGGTTTGGTTTTTTGTTTAATCTTTATCTTAAAACCTCTGGGCAGTTTTTTAACATTGTTAACCACCAGTACCACCTTGAAATGCTGTCATTCCTAAGTTTTCATGACACCACAGTCTTCAGATTTTCTTGTTCCATTTTTGCTTCCTCTTAAACCTTTCTCTTATGGACCCTTCTTTATCTACCTGACTGTTAAAAATTGATGTATTTCTGTATTCTGAGCTAGCTCAGCCTTCTTAGTGAGCCCTCTTTGGATGACCCCTTCTACTATCAGAGTTTCATTTGTAATCTCTGTGCTAAAGACTTGCAAATCTTTATTTTTCTCCCAGATACTTCTCTGGAGTTCTGAAGGTATGTATCCAAATTTTTATTGGATGTTTCCATCCTGGAGGAATGAAAGTGTAAAGAACAGGTGTGTTAGGAACAAACAGTCCAATCTGGCTGTAAGACAGAGTAATGGAGGGAAATAAGGCTTGAAAGGTCAGCTATTGACTCATTCATTGAACAAGTGGCACCATTCTAAGCACTAGATTACACCTGTGAACAAAAATACAACAATAGCAAAATCCTTGCCATTATAGAGGCTAAATCCCTGCCATTGTGTGTGTGTATAGTTGGGGTGAGTAAAATAGATAATAAACCACATATTAGTAAAATATATAGTGTGTGAGTAAAAGAGAAGAAGGAATATGCCATGCCAGATATCTGGGGGAGGAGTGTTTTAGGCAGAGGGAACAACAAATACAAAAAGTCTGAGGTGGAAATTTCTGTAGACCAGAGATAAGGGAGCAGAGTAATCTAGGGTAATGGAGTAAGAGATGAGATCAGAGACATAAAGAGGAGTCAGATTAAATAGAGGATTATAAACCTTGGCTTTTACTCCAAGTAAGATGGGAAGCCATTGGACAGTTTCACTCAAAGATGTGATGTTGCCTGACTTATATTCAAAAAGTATCACTGGCTCCACTGTTGAGAATAGATTGTAGCTGGCCAAAAGCCAAAGCAGGAAAACCAGCCAGAACTCAACTGCAGTAATCTGGGTGAAAGGTGATGGTGGCTTAGAATATAGTTTGGAGGTGTTGAGAAGTAATCAGTCTATATATACTTTCAAGGTAGAGTTAAGAGTAATTGTTGATGGATTAGATGTAGGATGATGGATTAGATGAGAGAAGCCAAGGAAGATTCCAAGGTTTTATTTTGGGCAAGAATGGAATTGTCATTGACTTAGAGAAGATTGTAGGGGCAACACATGTGAAGTGGAGTACTGGGGGTGGTTATCAATAATTTAGTTTTGGTCTTAATGACATTGAGATGCTTATTAGTCATCCAAGTAGAGCTTCAATAAAAGAATGTAAGAAAAGAAAACAAACAACAGAGATGGAAGGGCAACCTATAGATTAAAAGACATAAGAGACTCATCAACCAATTGCAATACATGACTTGTATTTGGATACTAATTCAACAAAAGTATAAAAGCAAACAACAGCAAAAAAGTAGAAGAGAATCAAGAAATCCTCTGATTGGATATTTGATGATATTCATGATTTGTTACATTTATGCATGATGATATTGTATATATAACTATATAAACATACACACACCCAAACATATGTGTAAATACATAGACACAAAAATGCATTTTAAAAAATTACAATCCTTTAGAGATAGCCACAGCTATATCCAGAGGAAGGGAAAGCCTAATTGAAAATAGATATTTTTA